CTTTGATTTGGATCTGTCTCGAGAAGACAAACAAAAAATGTCAGTACATGTCATGAGTTAAAATGGTTGAAAGAGTTTTGAATTTCCTCTGTTTTTTAAAAGCCAACCAATAACTGTTTCATTTTCCATTTTAGCCCATGGCATTGTTGATATTTTTTCTTTGTCTTCTTCAGACGAATCGAAATCTGTTTGGTAATGCTTGGTCGTTTAAAAATTTTACTGTAGGCGCTATCCTGCGAAAGTCTGCAGAGCCGAAAGCCGGGGAAGCGGTCGAAAATCGAACCCCCCGTCTGATTAGGCCCCTTATCTAACCCGGGGGAGAACGAGGACCGCTCTTCACGGTTCGAAATTCGAATCCCCTTTTAACAGTGAGGTCGGGCGGGGCGGGGAAGGGGCGGAGGGGCCACTTCGGGACCGTTCCATTGATCAGGCCTGTTTGCTTGCATCCAGCCTTTCTTCGGCGCGCCACTCGCCGAAAAGTTGCGGTTTTCGTCTCGGCGTTCCCCATTTTACGGCCACACCGTTCAAGATTTTGACTTGAAATTTGGAAGGCGTTTGACTACGAGTAGGACTACGCCTGTACATTGGCCAATTTTGGTATCGTGCCCAGGAGCCGAATACGGCGGTCTCTGTTTTCCGAGCCAATCACGAGGCAAAGGGAATGCCGGGCCGGGTCTGACCCGGACCGGGGGGGAGCCTAGTCTTTTACCAGTCTCTACCGATTTTTAAATCTTTTGGGCCCCCTTCTTTAGAAACTGCAATTTTATTTCGGTCTACATTGGGTCCCCGCGTGGAGGCATGGCCGGTGGCCGACCTAGAGTTACGTAATCCCAAAAAAAGGGAAACTTCTTCAAATTAGGATGTTTCTAAAAGTAAAACCCTTTAAAAAAAGAGGCCTAAAGTTGGTATTAAAAAAAGGGGCTAAAAATAGGCTCAAAAATAAGGTCCTTAAGTAGGTTATTAAAAAGGTTTCAAAAATGGTTTCAAAAATAGGTTCTAAAATTGTATTTTTTTAGCTCTTTAAAATTTGGGTGCAAAAGCGGTCCCTAAATTTGTATTCTGTCCCTATATTTGGGAAAAATTTTTTGACACTAAAATGGGATATAAATTTTGCCTAAAAATAGCGGTAGGACAAGTGGGAGTAGAACAAACGGAGCCGCCCTAATGCCCCCGTGCCGCTTGTCGTTACTGCTTCACAGTGTGGCGACAGCAGAAACCCCCACGGAGCGAAAGCGCGCGAACGGACGAACAAACCGAGAGAACCGAAGCTGCACTCTTTTTATTTTTTTTCGCCACGCGTAGCGCCTGCGAAGTGCAGGGTAGGCCGACCCGCCGAGGCCGCGCGCTCGACGGCACTGCCTACACTGCAGGCGCGCTGCCGCCGCACAGTGGGCCAGAAGACCGGTGGAGGCGGCCTAAACTCCAGACGCGTTTTGAGCTCTAGAGTCGCTGAACAGGACTCGAACCGAACGTGTGACCCCACCATTGGATTCCGCGTTCGGAGAGCAATCCATTGGTGGGGTCACACGTTCGGTTCGAGTCCCATTTAGCGACTCTGGAGCTCAAAACGCGTCCAGAGTTTTGGCCGCCTCCACCGGTCTTCTGGCCCACTGTGCGCCGCCGCCGTCTCTCTCGCGGGGTGTTCCGGAGGGGTGCGAGAGAGACAGACGGCAGCCTGGCGTCGCTGGACGTGCCCGAGCTGTCGCCACTGATCGGAGCCGGTTCGGCTCGGCCTGGCTTCGGCCTGCAGCGCGATGACGCGGTTTATATCGCTGAAGCACCTCACCGGTCAACGACTCTAGCAGCACCTCCCGGCCCGTCCCGGTCGCGGCCAGCGGGCTGAGCCCAACAGTGCTCCGTCTCTCTCGCACCCCCGCGGGACGCCCCGTGAGTGCGAGAGAGACAGAGCGCGTTGCTCCGTGCAGTGCGATACCTTTTTCGGGCGAATCGTGGCGGAGGCCGGCGTGCCACAGTGGGCCAAAAGACCAGTGGAGGCGGCCAAAACTCTAGACGCGTTTTTGAGCTCCAGAGTCGCTAAATTGGACTCGAGCCGACCGCGTGACCCCACCAATGGATTGCTCTCCGAACGAGGAATCCATTGGTGGGGTCACACGTTCAGTTCGAGTCCTATTTAGCGACTCTGGAGCTCAAAACGCGTCCAGAGTTTTGGCCGCCTCCACCGGTCCTCTGGCCCACTGTGCGTGCGCCGAGTCGTGCCGCTGTGACCCGCTACTCGGATCGCTCCGTCTCTCTCGCACACCCGCGGGGCGCCCCGTGAGTGCGAGAGAGACAGAGAGGCGGAAAGCAGCGCAAGGACTTGTACGGGGAAACAGTACCGGCCGGTGCGGCGGGTCGCGGCGGCGTTTGGGGAGGCGAGGCAGGGCGAGGCAGGGCAGGCTGGAGAGAAAGAGAGAAACCCAGACGAGTGCTTTGTGGAAACGGTTGCGCTAGAGCGTGGACGAGTGCGTGTAGAACACACTGAACAAAGCGGAGCGCGTGGGCGGGGACGGCCGGACACACACACATATATTCACACACACACACACACACACACACACAGCGCCGCCACGGCCGATAAACTCTCTGGCATGGACCCAGAGCCACCCTCCCGTGTGTGTGTGCGTGTGTGTGTGCGCGTGTGTGTGTGTGTCTGTGTGTGCGCCCCACGCGCGGTTCAAAGGCTGAAAGACGAAGCGGGCGAGGAACGCAACGGGCGATTTAATTCGTAGCGGTGGGGACTTTTAAACGTGATTTGCATCTGCCGCGACGCGTGCCGTGCCGTACACTCTGCCGGCGATCGCTGGAGAGCGGCCAAGAGGCGAGTGGGCCGTGCGGCGCGTTTGGAGCCAAAACCCGCAGCGGTTGTTGTGGCGTTTTGGGACACATGTCGGTCGAACACGGGTAGTCCCGACGCGCAGGAAAGGATTCATCATCGAAGCCCTGCGCTCGGGTTTCCTTCTTTTCCTCTGTCGTCCCCCAAGTGCGGCAGGAGGCACCAGTCTCGTTCCGCAGCGTGTCTCTCTCGCACTCGCGCGGCGTGCCACTGAGGTGCGAGGGAGACGGCGACGAGAGCGCTGAAGGGGAGCGTGTAATTAATTAACGGGTCGTCGATACCCCGCGCTTCCGGCGGGTAAGGCACGGCGTATTTCCGACGGTCGCGTTGCACTGTGAGCGCCCGGCCCCGCCCCGCTCCTCACACTCATGGCGCATCCGCTGCTCGTTTGTAGTCAAGGATGGAGGGGACGCTCTGTCTCTCTCGCACCCCCGTGGGACGGGCACAAAGGGTGCGAGAGAGACAGCGAGGGAGACGGCGGCGGGGCTTCGTGACCCTCCGCAACATCCGTCCCCTCACTCGGCCAATTAACCGTGTTTCAAAGGGGGACGCCGCGCCGCTCATGCGCCGCTCGCTGGAGGCTCCAGAAACCGCGCCTCGTTTTACAGTGGCTGCCCCGAAAGTGGAAATTAAAGCAGGCCAAGCCTTGCGTTCGATCATAACCGCGGCCGCTTACTGCTGGACGGCGCTACAGAGCGGCCGAGATGCGCTCTCGGTGGCGCGCCGCTTGTGTTGCATATGCACAGCCGTCGCTCTGTCTCTCTCGCACTCACGGGGCGTCCCGTTTCGGTGCGAGAGAGACAGACACGACTCTCGGAATCGAACCGCAGTTTATCGGATCGAACGCATCGCGGCCACAACTTGTCACTTTCTTCCGAGACTGTACCGCGATCATATCGGCAGGGAAAGGCCGCCGTGTCCAGGAGATGTCCAGAGTGTCTCTCTCGCGCGGAGTACCGACAGCTGAGGCCCTTTTGAACCGCTGCAAAGGTCCACCAGCGCGGTGGAGACCGAAACGCCCTGCTAGAGCGCAGTCTGGCAGTGGCGTGGCGAGGGGCGCGCTGAGGCAGTGGTGTGGCAGGAAGCGGGCTCATTTGTTTCCCTGTCCTTAAATTAGACGGAGCTGCTTCGGCCGAGTATGGACGGCCAGGCGCGGCGGGGCGGCGCGCCAGTCGCATCCCGAAACAGTGTGCCGTCGTCGTCGCTCTGTCTCCCTCGCACTCGCCCGGCCTGCCGTGGGGGTGCGAGAGAGACCGCAGGCTGCCGCAGGCCCTATCGAAGACTCGCTTTGATTATCTGCCCGATAAGGCTTCGCTGACGCGCTGCTGCTGCTGGCGGTGTCGCGGGTCGCGAGGCAACACCTGGCGGAGCCGGCCAGAGCGCACCTACACTAGAACGCCGCCGCGCCGCCGCGGTGCAGGCCCACTGGGAAAATAAGCCGTGCTCACTCGCTCTGGCGCGCGGGGTATCTGCGGCGAGCGGGCGGGAAGCCCCGCTATGTTGCTGCAGTCGGTTTCGCCTTCGCCGTCGCCCTTCGCGGCTCTCTATCCTGTTTGGGCACGGCCTGCATGGCGGCGCGGGGCGGGGCGGGGGCAGGGTCACGGCAGTAAAACGGACCAAAATGCAGCGCCGCGGTTTACGGCCGCCGTGTGCCTCCTTGTGCCACTCCGCTGCCACTCCACTGCCACCGGTCGGCGTGTGGAAAGCTTGCGCCAATCACCAATCGGTCATAAATCGCAAGCCTGATGTTGTCGCGCGGGGCTCCGTGGAAGGACGTTGTCGACTGAAGGCGTAGGTGTGACCCTGCGCACTTCCCGTCGGGCCTACCTGCGGGCAGCAGGCTGACGACGCTGTCTCTCTCGCACTCGTTGGGGGCTCCGCATAGCTCCGCATAGCTCCGCATGGGTGCGAGAGAGACAGCGCTGTGCGCTGGAAAGCGTGAATTCAGCCTGCGATTAATTAAAAGCAGGAGCTTTACTTTCCTGTTGGGCGATGGCGCGTACTCCGCCGCTTTTTGAGGCGAGTGAAAGCTTCGGCAGTTTGGCCTTCGTTAACGCGGGCTTAGCGGCACCAACGACCAGCAACGACTTACGGCCCCCTGGGCCGCACTCTGTGGCGATACCCCCCGCGCGCTGAGACTTTACCGCTGTGCTTTTCTGCCCCGCAGGCCTGGCCAACAACTGGAGCTCGCTGCAGGACCGCGCCCAGGAGCTGCTCCGCCTCAAGAAGGAGATGGACGCGCTCAAGGACGACCTGCTCAAGACGCGGGGTATCGCCCTGTCGTCGGAGCTGGGCGACATGGACCAGCTGGACGAGCGGATCCGTCTGGTGAAGGTGAGTGCTGCGAGGGGTAGCGCCGCGTGTACTCCGCGCTGTCCTGTCGGCGCGGGGTAGCGCCGCGTTGCGGCTGAGGGCGGGAGTACCCCGCGCGCGAGCGCCGCCGCCGTGGGGGAAGACGGAGGGAAGACCCCGCGCGCGAGCAGACTGCCCGCTGGGAAGGTGTCTGACCGCGAATCAAGCCAAAAGGTGTTCAAAACCCGGAAAACTCGAAAAAAAAGAAACAATCACAGTCAACTATAGACGCCGCTTGTAAAAAATATTTTTCAGTGTATTCGCAGTTTTGTTTCAAACTGGCCTGATCGCATTAAATTTGGCCGGCGATTCCCCTGCCCCGCGGCGAGAGAGAGAGAGAGAGAGGAGAGAGAGAGAGAGAGAGAGAGAGAGGAGAGAGAGAGAGAGAGAGAGAGACGCCTACTTATACCCCCTTCTCCTTATCTGCACCTCTATCGGTTCTATCCCCGACTTCCGGCGCGGTCCCCGCCGCCCTCCGCCAGGGCGCGCGCGCGGCGCTGGCGGGGCGGGGTGCGGGGCCGGGGTGCGGGGGCGGCGGGTAAAAGCGTAGTCATGTCGGGGAGGGGGCGCACTGGGAGGGGAGGGTCCGTACGTGCCCGGAATAAGCGAATTTGACGTAGGATATTTTGGCCGCATAAAGTAGAGAGCCGGCGGGGCCCGGCAGCGCGGCAGCGCCGAGGGCAGCGCGGCAACGCAGCCAGCAGCCGACGGAACGGCAACGGGCAGCCTTAAAATCCGTTTCAACATTTCTCCATTTTGCCGCGGCGCCGCGGTGCCGGGCAGCACAAGCCTATATCCGATATATATCGGTGCATTTCGCTCGCGGTGCAGAGAGAGAGAGAGGGGAGAGAGAGAGAGAGAGAGAGAGAGAGAGAGAGAGAGAGAGAGAGAGAGAGAGAGAGAGAGAGAGAGGGCGGGCATTGTTCCGTCATTAGACGCAGGGAGTTATGGCACAACTTGCGGGCCCGCGCGGCGCTGCCCCGCCGGACCCGGCGAACCGATGGCTGCCGATGGCTTCCACTGGCCGGGGCGCAAATGCGGGTAATGCCTGCTATGCCTGCCAGTGCGCCGCGCGTGCCATTACGCCCTCGCCGCGTCGCGCGGTGCTCTGTCTCTCTCGCTCTCGCGGGGCGGCGTGGGGTGCGAGCGAGACGGAGCGATGCAGCCGCAGTGTCGGCATGCATCCCGCCACGCATCGGCCGCTCTGACTGATGGCCTGTTTGAGTAATTGCAATGCGATGCCCATTGGATTTGGGGCTTGCTAGACTCGCCAGTGTAACGTGGTGGCCTGGCAGCGCCTCTTGGAAATGCAAGATCGGTGGCGCCGAGCCGCGTCCCGGACACTCGGCGGCCGTGTTGACGAGTAGGTGCTGGCGGTCGTCGTGAGCCTCCCTCCTCCTTCCGGTCTAATCCCCCGGGGATGGCTCCGCGGCGCGCACTTTAATTGCTCCGGACCTCCCTTTCTGGCCCGATGGACACCGCGGACACGGCCACGGACGCGGGGGGCGCCGACGGCATCCTGGCTGCCGGACATTGACTACAGATATCAGGATTAATTCTTCATCAGAATGGGATTAATGCCTTATCACTGGTCTGTCTGTCCTTCCTGTCCGTCCGTCCGTCCGTCCGTCCGTCCGAGCGGTGCCTCGGAATGCGCGGAGGCCCTGTTCGGTGGCGCCCCGGCCGAGGCCCTGGCCAAGGCCCTGGCCGTCGTGGAAGTGCGCGCCCCTCGCCCGGATTGCGGCGCTGGGACGCGGCGAGTCGCTTGGCTGTAAATCTCCAGTAGATGGACATTGATGCAGAGAGAGAGGGAGGAGAGAGAGAGAGAGAGAGAGAGAGAGAGAGAGAGAGAGAGAGAGAGAGGGTGGGCGGCCCGGCGGGCTTTCAGCGCGGCTTGTCTTTACTGTCGGCGAGGCCGGCCGCGGCGCCGCCGTCCGGATGCCTTCCGTCCGAATCCTCGGCAGCTGGCCGTCGTCGTGCCCGTCGTAACGGCGAGGGGGGACTCGTCCTCCGCGACGTGCCCGTCGACGCCATGCCGGCCAATCTGTGGAGTGCTGGGCCGCATTATCCGCGTTTGAATTTTGCCGCGCTGTCCGGCTGCAGCAGCGCGGTACCGCGGTGCGGCGCCGCCTGGAGAGACTGGAGCACTTCTTGGGGCTGGCCGCGCGCTCGGCCGCGCCGCCGCCGCCGTTGCGTGGCGTGACTGTGTCGGTAAGCTCATGCGTATAAATTATCCACTGGACGTTGTCCGCGCGGGGCTACGCGGGGCGGGGCCGCGAGGGGCAGCGCGTCGTACTGGACTCCCAGGGGGCGGCGGGGACTCGGCCAGGACGACGGCCTGGACGGCGGGCCGCCCCCGCTCCACTGGAAAAGGGCGGCACGGCGATTGAATTGGTGAATTGGCGCGGACGGCGGCCTTGATGAGGGTGTTGGCCAGCGCGGCCGGGGGCTGCGGGGCACTCCACGGCGTCGCGGTGTTGTCATCGGGGACGCGTCTGCATCGGAATGGCTGTTTGTCGCGCCCCGCCGCGCTCCAGGCCTCGCTCCAGGCGCGCGCTGGAATTTCACTCGTGGTGTTGGTGGGCCTGCGGGGACCTTTTCCAGCCGGGCGGTCAGTTTCCGGGGAAGGTCGAAGGGCGCCGCCGGGGCCTCACCTCGGCCTGCCTCGGCCGGACCGTCCGCCGTCGGCCGGGAGAGATAGGTGGAGCAGCCCGCGGCCGGGCAAGGCTGGGAGGCCCCCTCCCGCACCGTTTTCATCTCACGACAAGTAAAAATGACGTCGGGTGCGAATACGTATGCGTACATCTGCGATATGGTGTTGGTTCGGATCGGGTAGGGGATGGAACGGGGGCGGTGGTGGGGGTGATCTGATCGACCGTGGTGAATAAATTGTGTTGTGGCGCTGCACATGTGATCGCTGCGCTAGGGCGAGCCGTCTCTCTCTCTCTCTCTCTCTCTCTCTCTCTCTCTCTCTCTCTCTCTCTCTCTCTCTCTCTCTCTCTCTCTCTCTCTCTCTCTCTCTCTCGCACCCCCTCCCTCCTTGAACACATGCGCGGTGCCGCCGCAGCGACCACTGCTGTTGAGTAGACCCTCCCCGATTTAAATTCGCCGCCGTTGTTTGTGTTTATTATTTACAGGGGGCGCATGCGTTATTTGCAGTGGCCGTTATTTACAGCTGTTGTTGTTGTTGTGTCGCAGGCCGAGCACGAGTCCCTGCAGGAGCGCAAGAAGCTCAAGCTGCCGTACCTGAACCACGCCGTGCACCGCTTCCGGCAGCAGGCGCTCAAGGAGCAGGTGACGGAGCTGTACGGCATCTACGACGACACCTACGACATGTGAGTACGGGACGGGACTCTCTTTCCTTTCCCTTCTTTTTTCATTTGGCCGTTGGGGCATGGGGCGTCCCTGGGGGATGGGGGTGGGCTGACCCGGTGCTGGACCGGCCGGAGGTCAACCGTGGCCAAATCTCTCACCGCACTGACCGCGCTGCGTCGCTGCGTCGCTGCGGTGGGCTGTAAGCCCCGACCCGCTCCCCGGACACTGCCGGGGCACGGCCAGGACACTGTCAGGACACACTGGCCGCCCGTTTGGTTCCGGCCTCATTTGCATCTTGTAATGTGGGGGCAAGTGGCGTGTGGTCGCAAGGCTTAACGGCACGCGCCCGAATCACACTCACTCGCACACCGCCGCACACACACACACACACACACACACACACACAGACACGCACGCACGCCGAGGGGATACAATTTTCCGACTGGGCCATGAACCTGGGGATACAGCCGTCGCAAAGGGCGCTGCGCGCGGAATCTCTCTCTCTCTCTCGCTCTCGTTCGCCCTCATAGCTGTCTCTCTCTTTTAGTTTGGCGACGATAAATTATCGGGGCCTAACTGCTGGATGCTCTTATTGTCCATAAAACATGTTGTTGTCCGGGCTGCGCTGTGCTGGACGCTGCGGCGGCCGGCCAGTGCTGGCGACAGGGCGACGGCTGCTGCCGGCGAAGTTGTCCGAGTTAACTCGCCGGGAACGTCCTCTAATTGAGGGCGTCTTTGGGGATGCAGAGGGGCGGGATGACAGGGGCGGCGCTTCTTTTAAGGGGGATTATTTCGCGCCACTCTTTGCGGCCCTGGCACCCTTGAGGCTGGCTGCCCGGCTGTCCGGCTGGCTGGCGCTATGTCTGTCTGTCTGTCTGTCTGCCGGCTCCGCTGGGCCGGCCAGCCCGCCGTCCTGGCGGTCAGATGGACTCTTCCCGAGATAAGCTCATTGATTTCTATGGCGCTGTATTTCTCACGCCTCGCCGTGGTCGGTGGGGCTGCAGGCAAGTCTGCAGGCAAGTCTGGAGGCAATGCTGGAGGCAGTGCTGGAGGCAAGGCGAGGCTGGAAGTGGCGACGCGGGGCGAGGCGGGGCGGGGAGGCAATCGACCTGCAATTACATCTGGAGTGGGAGGGTGGCTGCATTTGCTTTGCTCTCCGCGGCGCGGCGCGGCGGAGAGCCACGGGGAGTCAGAAAGGCGCGATGAGGCGGAAAGACTCGCCGATGTTTGTGCGTCGTCGGCAAACTCGGCCGAGGCCGGGACCGAGCCGGGACCGAGCCGGGGCGCTCTCTTTCATTACCTCTGCCAATAAACACCATCACACTCATCGCCCCTCGACCCTCCGGTAGTGTCCGTGTTTGCCCTGCTGGCCTGAAGGGCAACACCACCGCGAAAAAAAAAACCCGCGACCTGCTGGTATTTGAACCTCCGTTCCTTGTGTTTCCAGGGTGTCGCAGCACCTCTCGGACCTGCAGCAGACCAAGGTGGCGTGGCAGCAGTTCGAGCAGCACCTGGCCGAACTGCAGCGCGCGCTGCGCAGCGACCAGGACACCCTGAAGCAGGTGGACCGCGCCCTCCAGGGCGGCCAGGTGTCCACGGCCGTGGCGTCCTCGGTGCGCGAGGTGGCACGCGCGCTGTCCGAGAAGCAAGAGCACTCGTCCGTCACCATGGGCCAGGTAAGGGCGACCGAGGGGAACCGACGCACTGTGGGCCAGAAGACCGGTGGAGCGGCCAAAATTCTAGACGCGTTTTGAGCTCCAGAGTCGCTAAATGGGACTCGAACCGAACGTGTGACCCCACCAATGGATAGCTCTCCGAACGAGGAATCCATTGGTGGTGTCACACGTTCGGTTCGAGTCCCATTTAGCGACTCTGGAGCTCAAAACGCGTCTAGAATTTTGGCCGTTCCACCGGTCTTCTGGCCCACTGTGCGACGTCTGGAGTAACTATCCGCGCCAGGCGCCTGGCGTGGCCGGGTAGGCCGTCCCGTTGAACACGGCTGTCGTCGGGTTGCCTACCCGCCAGGCGCCCGGCTGTCGGACTGAGGCTGCTCCTCCACCGTTAAAAGAGCCGCTTTGGCGTTGAATGTTGGAACTGACCGCGCCGGTGAAAGGCGCCGAAGCCCGGGCGCACGCGCAGCGCCGGAATGGGCCGAGTCACGCCGTCTCTCTCGCACTGCCGCGGCGCCTCGTGCGTGTGCGACGGAGACACTGTGCAGAATGTGCGTTCCGCTCGCGCGGTCCGAGGAATCCGAATTCGTTTCCGCGTTGCCCGCCGCCCGTTTCTGCGGTTCTGGATTCGCCGCTGGAGTGCGCCGCTCGCGCTGCTTTCGCCCCGCGGGCCTGCACTGGTAGTGATCTCCTTTCCAGTGGCGTGGCGCTGCCAAGATGCCGTCCGAGTAGCTCACCTTCTCCGTGCGGCGGGCGCGGCGGACAGAATCTGCCCCGTCACCAAGCAGCAGGGCGTGGGGCTGTTACGAGGCTGGCGCGCTGCTGATTGATAGACGTTCCTGTTTGACAAGGTCGGGGTCGCTCTGTCTCTCTCGCACCCGTACGCCACGCCCAGTGAGTGCGAGAGAGACAGAGCGATGCTCGGAATCAGTCTGCTGCCAAGGCGCGGACAGCGATAGTGCGCCGGCCGACACCCGTCCGCCCCCGACCTGTCGCCGGCTCGGCTCGGCTCTGCTCGGCTCGGCTCGGCTCGGCTCGGCTCGGCTCGGCTCGGCTCGGCTCGGCTCGGGCGGCGCGCGCGTTAATTGGTCGGTCAAGGGGTTAATGAGGCGGCCGCAAGGGCGAGCCACACGTCTCACTCTGGTTCTGCCCGCCTTCTGGAAAATGAAGGACTCCGCTCGCGACGAAATGGGGCGTGTAAAGGCGCATCACGGCCGTTCCGGAAACACACTTTAATTTCTTCCCGGCGCGGCCCCGACACGCACTGGTCGCGACACTGTACCCTCCATGATTCCCCCGCCAGACGCGGTGCAATAGGGCCGCAGCCTATATGAGTCACGCGCGAGGAATGCTCACCTCTCACCGCGCGGCCCTAGCGGCGCGCTAGCTCTCGTTCCTCCCTGAGCTCCATGCAAATGCGGCTGCTCCGCAGGTCGGCCGCGGGTTCGAATACCCGCACTGCCAAATTTGTTTTCGCTGTGTGCTTTTTTTCTTGTTCCGGAACTTAAAGCCGACTAAGCTGCTGCAGCAACCTGAGAGGGTACATGAATCAGACGAAGCCAATAACCGTGGCGCTGCTCGGCGTGGCCCGGCGCTCTCCCCGGGGAGCGATTTAGCGCGGCCGCTAGGTGTGTGACGCGAGCCGTCCGGAAAAGAATGAGACGGATTGCTTCTTAAACGACGTTTACTTTACATGCAAATGAAGGGGGAGGGGGGAGCGAGGAAGGGCAGAAGACGAGGAGGTGCCCGTCAAGAGTGTGGTGCGGTAGCGCATGACGGCTTGGAGGCTTCGCGCGGGGCTGGGGGGCTCCAAGGGCGATTGCGACCACCTTGGTTGGACTGCCCCGGGGTGTGTCCCGGCCGTCACACATTTGTCCCTCCCAGCCGCTCGGCGCCGTGTCGCCCGCTCGCCGCTCACCTCGCCCCACCCCCTCAATCCTTCGCCAATAAATCTTGTAGAGGCCCAACATATTGCAGGGAGCCACCCCCGCACTGCAAGCAGTGGCGCTGCCGGAGCTGGCGGAGCTGGCGGACCGGGGCAGAGAGCCTCTCCCGCCCTCCGCTGCACTTCACAAATTATCTGCGGCACGTCTCCGCGAACACCCCTCCCCCCCCCTCCCCCTCGCGCAACCCCCGCAGGCCGACTCTTTCTGGCCGCAGGGACGGCCGGGACGGGGCGGACTATATTTTCTTTTTATTTCTTTCGGTCGGACAGAGCCGTATAGTGATGATGAAGATGGAGTGAATGTTTGAATTTTTACTGGGGTTGTTTTATGGAAGTAACCACGCGCTCAGGGCGTCACTCTCTCTCTCTCTCTCTCTCTCTCTCTCTCTCTCTCTCTCTCTCTCTCTCTCTCTCTCTCTCTTTACCAGCGCACACGCGGCGCCAACTCGGTCCTCCGCTGGAATGCTCGGGGCAAAAAAATGCAAATTAAAAGTGTAATTTTTTCTCGACTTTACCACCTTAATAAACTGGAAGGGTTAGGTTAGGGGCGAGGGTGGTTTACGCGCCATCTCTGATTGGGTCTTGTGAACCAGCAGCCCTTTTCCATGAAAGTGGGCGAGAGGTAAAATTTTTCTGAAAACGTAACGCGCTCTTTGAAGGCTTGCGCTTGAATTTGCCCGTGCTCGCGGCATATGGGGCGCAACGCCGCGGCGGGATGAGAGGGGCGGGGCGGGGCGGGGCGGGGCGGGGTGGAGTGGCATTGTGAAGGGGGCGTCGAAGGATCCATCCCTAGTTTGCTATGCCGGCCACGCGTTTCATTATGTGCTGGTTGTGCCACCCGGCGGCTGATGCCCCCCCCCCCTCTCTCTCTCTCTCTCTCTCTCTCTCTCTCTCTCTCTCTCTCTCCCGAGGTGGGGCCGGCCCCAGCCAGCCCCGTAAAGCAGGGGCAAGGTGGGTTACATCTGTTTGTCAAGGGGACAAGAACAACAGCCGCGCTACCGCCGCTACCGCTCTAATCAAGTTGTGGGGGTTCTTGGGCTCGGCCAGGCTCGGCGCTGGCTGGACGAGACCGACCCTTTGGCGGCGCAAGTCCACCGAGCCCACCGGTCCCTCAAGGCCCGGGCGAAAGGGACTGATGAAGTCCGCCTAGGCCTCGGAGGGCCTGGCACCTAAAGTGACGCTGGACGCTGACGATACTCTTGTTGTGTTGCAGAGCTCCCTGGTGGTGCTGGCGGACGCGCAGACGGCGGCGCTGCGCTGCTCCGAGGGCGGCTCGCTGTCGGACTCTGGCATCTCGGACACGGGGTCGGACCAGGAGCCCTCCGAGCGCGAGAGGCGGCTCGCCAACCTGAGGCGCCTCGCGCGGCAGCTGGAGGCCGTGCTGGGGCCGGGGTCCCGCGCCCTGGACAGCATGCGGGAGGTAAGCACCTGAAATAAAAATATTGAAAATTTGGCAAAGTCGGTATTTGAACCCACGTCTCTTGGCAGAAAATCCAGCAGACGGAGAGCGAGCTGCGTGGCCTGCAGCGCACCTGCAGGGACCTGATCGTGCGCACGGCCGTGTGCGTGGGCGCGGCGTCCCGGACGGCGGCCGTCGGCGCGGCGTCGGGCGGCGTGGCCTCGCCCTGCCTGGAGCGCGTCGCCGGCGGCGTCCGCCTGGCGTCCCCCAGCAGCAGAGCGTCGCCCGAGCCGCTGTCCAGGTCGCACCGAGGCTCCAACGGGTAAGCGCTGTCTTGTTTTTTGCGGTGTGATTTCTTTTCTGCAGCATCGGTGCATCCCGTCGGCTCCCTTTTCCCTGTGGTCGCGGCGCCAGGGCTCGCCGGGGCTGCCGGCGGTCAAGTGTCCATTGGAGGGAGAGCCTTGACCACAGCTTAGGCAACATCGCTACCGGACAGGACCGGCGGCCGGCCACCGCAAAACATGTGGACTGCATCGGGAAAAGGGAACTCGCAGTGTTGCAGCCTCGCCGCCTTGCCGCTCAAAAGCCTTTGCCGCGCCAGCAGCTCTCTCTCTCGCACTCACGGGGCGCCCCGCTAGGGAGCAACAGGGACGGAGCAGCGGAGCCCGGCTAAAGATGAGTCACGGCCGAACTAACTCCGCGCTGATGAGTATTCCGTTTTAGTGGGCAGCGTCTGTGGCTAGCGCGCTGGCGGCGTCGGCAGCACTGACCACTGTGAACCTCGGCCTGGGCATGGCCTGGCCAGGGATCCCTCGGGAAGGCGAAGGAAGGGTCGTGGAACCTCTCGAGTGGTTAAATGTTCAATGACAGCCGTGTTTTGCTTTTCCTGGTCCACTCTCGGCGCGGTGCGTGATCCAGATGGCTAATCGGGTTTACATGCCGAGTGGGGCGGGGCGGGGCGGGGCGGATCCTCGGCCAGCACGCTATTAGTGGTTCATTGAATCCGCAGGCCCAGCGGACTGATCTGTATGGCGGCGGCGTAGCCACAGTGTGCCACACCACCCTCATGCACCGCCATCCACCCTCTCTCTCTCTCTTCTCTCTCTCTCTCTCTCTCTCTCTCTCTCTCTCTCTCTCTCTCTCTCTCTCTCTCTCTCTCTCTCTCTCTCTCTCTCTCTCGCAACATCCCTCCGCCGCACCTCGCCTCCACAAGGGCCTTGATTCAGCCTCAGCCAATCGTTCACCAAATCCGCACCGACCCCAACTCAACCACTGCGGCCACTTTCAGAGACCTTGAAACCGGCGTCGGAATCCGCGGAGTGCGGCACCCTCTCTGTCGCACAGTGGCGGGGCGGCGGGCCGAGTGCGACAGAGACAGGCGACTGTTTGCTTTGCAGTGTGGCCGACGGGGCGCGGCCCGCGGGCTTCATTAGGTCCGAGGTGATCCCGCAATCCCTTGGACAAACATAATCTGGCAGGACAGGAGGCTGGGCTGGCTGGGCCGGGCTGGATGGCCAATCAAAGTGCTGGCTTTAGTGGGAGTCGGCGTGGGCCCGACCTGCTGCGCTATGCACTCCATCGACACTTTTCCTGTAATTTGATTCTAAAATTTTGGCCCGTATGTGTGTGCGAGTGGGTGTGTGTCTGTGTGAGTGTCCGATTAGCAATTAAAGCTGCGGTGGCAGGCGGTGGCTTTAGCAGTGGAGGCGGCTGGCCTGCATCCTGCACTCGTCGATCTCAATCGAGCCGGGCGATTCCCACGCAGTCGGCGCGTCGCTCACCGATCGGCCGCCACCTTTCGGTTTCCCTTCAAAATTGACACTTTCTCGCGGCGTCGAGGGACGACCGAAAGGTCCGAAAGGCTATTTGTTTTTGAATCGGGGACGGTGCCCGCTGGGGCTGCATGCAGCATCCATTCACGCCACTGCCTGCGGGCACTCCGCGAAGTGCGTTATTGAAAGAGAGCAGGCAAAAAAGAGGCAAATTGCAATGTGTGCATTGCTCCCGATGGCTGGTGTTGTTGTTCTCACCCCCACTCTCTTCCTCTCCCACACCGCTCCCTGCGGTCAGCGCGGCGCGGTGCGGTGAGCGGCCCTTCGCGGCTCCCATCGAATCCGACCAGGAATACAAATACTTGGCGCTGATTGACGTGCCGAGGTGTTCAGTTGTCGAGGAATTAGTATTCAGAGCGCCAGACTGCCAGGCCGACGGCCGCTGCCAGTCGCGCCGTCTCGCTCGCACCCGCGGGGCGCTCGCAGGGCACCGCAGGGGTGCGAGAGAGACGGACTACCCGGCGCGGAATCGGTAGCCGGCGCACAGTGGGCCAGAAGACCGGTGGAGGCGGCCAAAACTCCAGACGCGTTTTGAGCTCCAGAGTCGCTTAACAGGCCTCTAATCGAACGTGTGACCCCACCAGTGGATTCCTCGTTCGGAGAGCAATCCATTGGTGGGGATCACACGCTCGGTTCGAGTCCTATTCAGCGACTCTGGGGCTCAAAACGCGTCTAGAGTTTTGGCCGCCTCCACGGCCTTCTGGCCCACTGTGCGGCGGCGAGGCGGGGCTGGCGGGGCCGGCAGCGCGGTCACAGACCGAGGTGTGAGATATGCACCGGCCTCTCGTTCGCCCAGGCAGGCCCAGGGCCAAGGTTGGGAACGGGGGCAGCGACGGACGTGGAAAATCAATCAATAACCACCCATTATCGACTTATCGATAAAGAGTCCAGTGTGGGAGAGAGGAGAATGAGGCAGCACCGGCGAGTTGGATTTGTCATCCCAGAGCAGCTCGCAGTAAACTCAAACCGTTAATGTCTGATATTATTTTCCTGTGTGGGCGACTTTTTAACACACAATCGGAAAGGGGTTGACGTTGCTGGTTTTCCCGCAACAGCCTGCAGAGCCCCGCGCCCGCCAGGCACGTCCGCCAAGCGGTGCCACCGTGCCACCCCCGGCCGCTCTGTTCTGCTGAGAGTAGTTTTCTTGGGTCAGAGAGAGAGAGAGAGAGAGAGAGAGAGAGAGAGAGAGAGAGAGAGAGAGAGAGAGAGAGAGAGAGAGAGAGGTCATGTCTGCCGCGCCCAAGTTAAGAAGACCCCGCGCCGGTGTCACGTCATTTCAGCGAGTTTTGTAATGGCCTATAAACTTACTTTTCTCTCGTCTTTTTTCCCCTCTGGCTCTCTCTCGCTCTGCCGGCCGTCGCGCACGCCGGCCTCGCTCTGTCTCGCTCTGCCTACAACATACAGAGTGTGTCGTAAACACGTGGTTTGATGGCCCTAGAGATGCGTGTGAGCGCTGAAAAGGCCGCGGTCGGACGCCGTTGCCGTTTTCGATTTGGCAAGTCGAGTCTTCGCCGCCGCCCCTGATTGCGAACCGTATTGCCCTGGCCAGACGAATTCAAACAAAACAGAGGGACTGGCGGCGTGCCGACCGAAGCCTCATTGCCCCTTCACCGTTTCGGGCTCGATATTTTTTGATTAAATTCCATAATTAATCAGGATGGCTTCCGCTGGGTGGGGCCCGGGTTCCCACCGCTGCATCGCTCCGGGACGGCCCCTAATAGGGCGGGGTGGGGTGGGGTGGGGTGGGGTGGGGCGGGGCGGGGCACCGCGTGGAGTAGCGCGCAATGTCCACCGATATATGAAGCCCGTAATTATCGGTTGGCGCGGAGAGGACCCATCAGGCCGGGCGGGCCCACGGGCGGGCCCACAGGCTGGCTGCCAAAACACGTTGTACCAACATGACAACGGGGAAAGCACACACACACACAAACACGCACACACATACACACACATATACACACATACACACACACACATGCACACGCGGCTGGTTGTTTTCCTCGCATCTTCGTCCTGGAGTCCGCCGGAATCTTCGGAACAAAACAGAGAGAAACTAGAAAAGACCCCCTCATTTTGCATATTGTGTGTCCCCGTTTGAAGAATGGCTTTCCAAAATGATCCAAAAAAATGATTTTTTTTTTCACTAATTCAGTGGCATTTTAGTCTTTAGTCTTTGCTAAAATATTAATTTATTAAAAATTTGAACGCAACATCCGTAGCAAACGCATGGAAGGTTGGTCGGCCCTCCTATCCCCTGTCAAAGCCAAACAAAGTGATTCGTCGCGCTCGCTGATGGCAGACGGATCCAAAGTGCTGGTGGTCTGTGTTCCAGTGTGTTGCAACGGCCGAAAGGCCCACCGAACGGATTATGCGTTTCGGAGGCGGGGCAAGGCGGGGCCCGGCCGAGCCGACCCGACCCCGGCGCACATCCCTGCGACACGTTTCAAACGCCGTCCCGGCCGGCCGGCAGCATGGCGCAGCACGGCGCAGCGCGCGGCCGCGTTTACCGGGCGTTCCGGTGCAGGGCGGGGCGGGGCGGGGCGGGGCGGGGTGGGGCGGGGGGGCGGGGCTGCCGGTAGAGGAGTCAAGCGCTGCCCAGGGTAATTACTGCTCACACACACAGAGGATGCGTTCTCTGTGGGAACGTGCCAACGCGACACACACACACACACACACACGCACACACACACACACGCACACACGCGATATCGCTTGCTTTTCGATTCATTCATTCTTTCCAGCCATTCATAACGCACCGGCCGTGTAATGTTCCTGTCCGAGTGAGAGGGCTTCTAATGAGAGAGAAGGCTGCCGTTGTTGGGGGCGGGTGTACGCCGTGTGCAGCGCCGCGCGCCTTTAGGTGCACCGGTACAGTCCGGTCCGAAAAGGGCGGAGGCGGGCGTGTTTTAGAAAGCCGACTTTGTCACAGGGGCTGGCCCCGCCCCCTCGGCGCGGTGATGCAGGGCTACATCCCGGTCGGTACTCGCGGTGCCCGCCCGGCCCGGCCCGCCCCCGAGATTGAGCCCCCCTCGGCCCTCGGCTCGGGGAGCGGCCCCCGGATTGGGCTGCACTGGGCAAATTAAATGATTATGTACACGGGTTAATTATTGACAGGATGGAGGATGAGTCACGCGTGATCGGGGGCGTCTGCCAGGGTCTGCCGGCCGGGAGGCTTCTTTCTCGTTTTTTCTTGTTTATCTTTCGGCCGCGCCGCGACGTGCTGGAGTGCGGCGGCTCCGGGTCGCCGTTTGTCGTAAAAGGCGAAAAAGTTGGGTGAAACGCGGAGGGCTGCCGCCGCACAGTGGGCCAGAAGACCGGTGGAGGCGGCCAAAACTCTATACGCGTTTTGAGCTCCAGAGTCGCTAAACAGGACTCGAACCGCAAGTGTGACCCCACCAATGGATTGCTCTCCGAACGAGGAATCCATTGGTGAGGTCACACGTTCGGTTCGAGTCCTGCGTAGCGACTCTGGAGCTCAAAACGCGTCGACAGTTTTGGCCACCGGCGCCGGTCTTCTGGTCCACTGTGCGCCGCTGCCG